TGCTGAGCCTTCAAAGACTCAGAGGAAGGAATGGATATGCCCTTTTAAGGAGTGAGAGGACCACTGTGGTGAGAGGGCAGTGAGAGGGAAGCAAGCACAGTCAGCTGCAATAGCTGATGCGCTCTATGGCCAGTCTTCCCCAGCCTGAAAGGTATTTCTGCACTCAAAGTCAGATCACAGCACTGCCCATCTTCAATACTGTGTCCCTGTTACTGATGGGATAATGTCCAAGCTCTGTGTGATGAGACTCAGAGCCCTTCCTGTGCTGGACGCTATGCCTTTCTAGCCCTGTGCCCTGAAGACACGTGATCTAAACACTCAAAGCTGGGCCTCCTTTACACAAGCCTCCTTTCCATTGGAAAGGCTCCTTCTGTGTGATGACCATCGTTTCACCCCCTAAGACTCATCTAAAGTTTTACAGGAGGACTCAAGACATTGCTTTGTTATTTCACGGGCAACTCTTGTAATCTTGGGCTGCTTTTTACAACTCTCACCATCCTGTGAACTCTTGAGAATCTTAAGAGTCTGGATCTTATATTGTGGTCATCATGGTACCTGATACAGAGCTGGCTTCAAAACATGTTTACTGAAAGAAAGAAGGAGGGAAGAAGGAAAGAAGGAAAAGAGGGAGGGAGGGAGGGAGGGGAGAAAGGAAGTTTTGCCCAAATGCACTATTGGAATACATGACATTCAGATTCCATATAAGGTTCAATTTTTTTATTAAATCAAATTAAATTTAAAAAAACATTTATTGAATGACTTTTACATATGATACATTAGCCCAATTAGTTGTGCCAGTAAACAATTCTTAATTAGCAGAGAAATTCTTAGCAAAAAAATAGAACATGACATAATGGAAGAGACACTGGGACTCTACTTGCAGCTTTAAGAACTTGAGGTATAGAGCCCCAAATTGCACTTCTTGAGTACACACTACAGCCAGCATCTAGTGGACACTGGAGAAATGTCCACCCTACAAACAAGGATAACAAGGTTTCTTTTTAAGACTTGAATCAGTAAAAATTGGATCACCCATCTGTGGGAGGTAATTGTGGACTGAAATACCCCAAACTGTCATCTAGGTGACCAACCTGCAATCTCAGCAAAAGGGAAGAAGGCATAAACAATATATCATGCCCAGAGGAGACAACTGACATGGAGGTGATGATGATGAACAGATACGATAAATATTTTCATCTGGACAAGGAAAAGTTCTCTAAGTGAACACACTGGCTGTATAGCTTATACCTTACGCGCCTTATGAGTTTGAAAAGTGAGAGTTAGTGCATTTGTGCAGTGGAAAGATGAATACATGACCAGGAGGCTGAAGAACAATGTCTGAACTATGGTCATTTTACCACAGTTGTCGTGCTGTGCGACCTTGCCTGGCTGCCAGCGGGCCTGCCCCAATCAGATCTCACTGCAGCCACACACCCCGCGTGAAAACAAATGTTTTAGGCCAACGTCAGTACAGAAAGTCCTTTCATCAGGATGACAACACAAGGCCAAGTGCATTCCATTCACAACCAGACATGGACTCAGAATGAAATGTAACTGACATAGCCCAGCTCCTAAGTGACCTTCAGATGCCAGTGTCAGTCAAATGACTCTAAAGAAAAATTAAGCTCAGGTTATAGTGCCGTATTCATCTGGAGTGCATTACTAAATGAAGACATGAAATGGAGCTTAGGAGCCAACTCTGTGGTGAATTTCAGAGGTGCCTGGAGCAGGAGGAAAGTAAAATGGCGCCTGCACGTTCCAGGAGCCTGCAGTGCTACAAATGATGTTTCTAATGCTCAAATGTTAGTTCACTGATGCTTCTCATAAGCAAGTTCTTGTCCAGAGTAGAATATTGGAAAGGTCTCTCACAATGGGCATTCAGTAACACAAGGCTTATGGTCCTGAGTTGGTGACTGGGCTGCCACATGCTGGAGTGAATCTTATCAACATGGCAACCTGCTGTCCCTACAGCAGGACATGCTGAGAAAGAACTGAATACAGCCTAAGGCGCTGTCACCATAGGAAAGCTCATGTCCATAGTGCTATGCACCCTGGTGGTGAGACCACACATGCTTGGCTTCCCCAGGCTTCTGAAGAGCGATGTTGTTTAGGACAAGACTCTGCCACTGAACCTGGAAAGACTGTTTTCTACCTTCAATGACCACATCAAAAATGTTAGGATCCTGGACATAAGACTATACACTTCCCTGCTATAGTTTTCTGTTTTGTTTTATTTCTGCATTTTCCTTTGTCCTAGCATCATTATTTCTCGGTTTGAATTTACCCAAAACTCAGTTCTTCTAGAAGACCTAATGCCTAAAGTTACTAAAGAATTCCTTTCTAATTCTGATGGCAGACTTTTTTCTAGTCATCCTCTGCTTCTAATTCAAATCAATTACTCCAACATCTTTGGATGTTTAATATTCGTATTTATTTAGTTCTACTCTTAAGCTTAAATACTAAAAGTAGACAGCTTATTTGTTTGTTTGTGTGTGTGTGTGTGTGTGTATCTATCTATCTATATATATATATATTTCAAATATATTTTATTGATTTTTTACAGAGAAGAAGGAAGAGGGATAGAGAGAAACATCGATAAGAGAGAAACATCTATCAGCTGCCTCCTGCACATCCACTACCGGGGATGTGCCCACAACCAAGGTACATGCCCTTAACCAGAATCGAATCCGGGACCTTTCAGTCTACAGGCTGACGCTATATCCACTGAGCCAAACTGGTTTAGGCATGAATATATTTTTAATGATTTTAGATAGGAAGGAAGAGGGAGAGATAGAAATATCAGTGATGAGAGAATCATTGATTAGCTGCCTTCTGCATGCCCACTACTGGGGATTGAGTCTGCAACTCAGGCATGTGCCCCAACTGGGAATTGAACCCTGACCTCCTGGTTCATAGGTTGATGCTCAACTACTGAACCACACCAGCTGGACCTAGACAGCTTATTTGAATACTCTGAAAACTTTTTAGTTTTATTTGGAATTTTTAATGTTTGCAATAAAGCAAAATGTTAAGACCTTAACAAAACTCCTTTGAAATGAAGAGTAGTGTGTGCAAGAATAAGCATTTTTTTAGTTCAAGACCTATGGGAGTCTTCTTCTGGCTACCAAAGCAAAATAACTTTGAGGCAACTTGGACTGAAACCTGGGTAGTGTGGTTTGAGAGTGTCTCCACTGTTACACTCATGCTAAATTCTATTGAAAATGTCTACAAGAGACTGTATTATTACTCAGGAAATATTTTCAGTGACATGTTAAAATAACGATTTATAGCCCTGGTTGGTGTAAAGTGGTTAGTGCCAGCCTGCACACCAAAGGGTCTCAGGTTTGATTCCCTGTTAAGGGGATGTACCTGGGTTGCAGGTTCGATGACTGGCCCTGATTGGGCACCTGCAGGAAGCAACCAAGTCTCTCACTTTCACTGATATATTTCTCTCTCTCTCTCTCTCTCTCTCTCTCTCTCTCTCTCTCTCTCTCTTTCTCTCTCTCTCCTTTTTCTTTCTCTCTCCTTTCCTCCCTTCCACTCTCTACAAAGCAATAGAAAAATATCCTTGAGTGAAGATTAACAAAACAAAATTTATATTTAATAGATTACTAAGAAAGGGGAGTATTATTTTAATGCAAGAGGAATATTTCAAAAGGAAAAATCACTTTGGGTCAACTTTTTTACTAAGAAAAATATTTACCAAAAAAATTTTTAAAATTTCCTCTTTAAATGTCTCAATTCAAACTGAGTCAAAGACAACCAAATTGAAATAGTGTCATTTAAAAAAAGAAGTGATTAACAAACAATAACAGAACAAGTAGATAAATCAATGAGTTTCAAGGTCTTTGAGAATATTATCTTAAGCAAAATAAGTCAGAAAAATCTAAGAACCATAAGATTGCATTCATATATGGGATATAAAACTGAAACTCAGAGATAGACAACAATATGGTGGTTAGCATAGGGTAGGGGGAGGGTCATGGTAGAAGATAAAGGGAACCAAATATATGGTGACAGAAGATTATTTGACTTTGGGTGGTGGAAACATAATGAAATATACAGACTGTATATCATAGAAATGTACACTTGAAAACTATATGGCCCTCTTAATTAATGTCACCCCAATACCTTTCATTAAAAAAAGAAAGACAAAAAAAAGTAGAAAAAGTGTTTCTCCAGAATAGTGTCCCAAGTAATGAAGAAATGATGGAATTTATATATTATTATTTTTAAAACTTCTAATAAATTAATGAATCTAGGTAAAGATCATTAGTGCTCACTAACATCATAAAGAGATGACTAGATGTGATGTACCGCTTGATAGAATATTCAATAGTATCTATAAAGTATTCCCCCCCCCCCCCCCCCCATTCAGGTTAAGTCCCTAGCAAACTAACAGTTTACAAGAACCACAGGGGACAGAAGAACATAATAAAAACATGGCAATACAATCAGCAAATTTTGTGGGAAACTCCACAGGACAAAAGGACATGGTTTCGTCAAAATATTAATTACAAAGGGCAAAAAAATAAGATGGATGGTAGAAACTTTTAGATCAAAAGAAACCTGAGAAACACATCAAAGGCAATGCATAAAATTTGTTTGGATTTTCAATCAAACTAACTATAAACAAAAGGACGAGTTAGTGAGTATACAGACAATCAGGGAAATTAGAACTACTACATATTTGCTGATCTTGAGAAATCACTGTAAATGTTTTTAAGTACATGATAATGGCATGGGAGTTATGCTTGAAAAATGTCCTTAACTTTTAGCCATGTACTAACATTTTTAATAAATGAATTATGTCTGAGTTTTGCTTCATAAAAATCTAGGTGATGGAGAAAGAGTGTTTCAGATGAAATAAGAGTAAGCTGATTGTTTTGAAGCTGGACAATGGGCACATGGCATCCTAATTTTGTATATGTTTGAAATCTTTCACAATAAAATGCTGAAAAATATTAAAAATTTTTGGGAAAATGATAGAGAAGACTTACCCTGCTGGATATCCTTCATTTCTAAATGCAAACTAGATATCAAGATTCCCACAGTTTGAGATCGTTTTCCATCCAATAACTTGATGATCTGGAATTTAAACATAAAATTAACACAAGCTCAAATGACCATGCAATTTTTAGGAAGTATGTAAAAAAAAAAAATAAGATTTTTATATTAATATACTCTGATTGTTGAATTAAATGGACACTATAGCTGAAACCGGTTTGGCTCAGTAGATAGAATGTCAGCCTGTGGACTGAAAGGTCCCAGTTCAATTCAGATCAAGGGCACATCCCCAGTGGGGGGAAGGAGGGGGAGTGCAGGAGGTAGCTGATTGATGTTTCTAGCTCTCTATCTTTCTCCCTTCCTCTCTGTAAAAATCAATAAAACATATATTTTTTAAAAAAATAAATGGACACTATTGTTACTTTATTTTAATAACCTTTAATTTAAAAGTAACTTATCCACAACTAAAGATATTTTAGAAAATAAAAAAAACACCATCCCAATCTAATACAAGCACACAAAATCTTTATAATATTGGTATATCTAAATATATTCAAATCATGCCACAACGTGGATGAACAGGAAATATCATGCTAAAGGAAAGAAACCAGTCACAAAGGTGATATTATATGATTTCCACTTATATGGGTGACAGTCAATTTGCATATTACTCTTTTATTAGATAGGATATATACATATTAAAACTTTTACAATTTTTTGAAGAAACTCCAAATAGCTCACTGCCAATTATTTCAACTTTTATGACTATTCCATAGAGAGAGCCTCATAGTTTTGTTTCCTCTAATCCTAGTGAGCCAAATAAGTTCCTAATAACATATCACACAGTAGTCACTAAGGAGAAAAGGTTATATTTTTTTCCCACGGGACATGGCTACAAAAATCAATATGACATGCACTCAAAACATCACCAATTCTTGTGTTTTGTTTTTTTTTAAAGCACTTTCTTGGGTAAAATACAAACTAAATAGCTATGCTTCCTCTCTCACCAAGGTACATATAAACTTACCAAAATATAGTGAAGACAAGATTAAACAGTAACTAGCACCTGCTTGTATATTAGTACTAGACTAGCTGAATTGTTTGCTGGTTGAACAGTAAGAGATACCATAAATTTGTTCCAACCAAGATTGTCTAATTACCTATCAATTGATTGATCCTGAATCAATTATTGCCAGCCCTTTGTCTTTTCTTTCTTTCTTTAAAAAAAAAATCTTTATTTTTGAAAGTATTAGTCCTGTGGTTTTTTATTTCTCTGCTCAGGATGGCTACTTTTTTAAAAAAATATATTTTATTGATTTTTTACAGAGATGAAGAGAGAGGGATAGAGAGTTAGAAACATCGATGAGAGAGAATCATCCATCAGTTGCCTCTTGCACACCCCCTACTGGGGATGTGCCCGCAACCAAGGTACATGCCCTTGACTGGAATCGAACCCAGGACCCTTCAGTCCGCAGGCTGATGCTCTATCCATGAGCCAAACCGGTTTCGGCAGGATGGCTACTTTTATATAACTATCAGAACTAAAAAAAATAGTAAATACCAAGTTTTCATCAAAATAAAAAGAAAATCTGATTTTTCAATTTAATGTGTTTAATAATTTCAACCTTAACCTTAGAGAAAAATTCTGGGGCATACAGAATTTCAAGAAGTGTCAAATAAATAAAGAATAAATTTGGCATTATTTGTTTACTTGTATATAAAAGCAAAAGCAGAGGAGAAAGAGATTATGTATAATCAAATATCTCCTTTAAAGGTGCAAAATCTGGCTTTTTCTTCGAGAACACAAATTTAAAGTGAAATGCTATTTAAAAGTCCAGTACCAAATTTAAAAAACCCACATATGTTTTAAATAAATATTCAACCACTGTAGACTCTGAGTGTGGGAGATGACTGTCTGTTCAAGTATGCAGAGCTCAGTGATTTTTTAAAAAATTCTGAAAAGAAAAAAAAAAGGCAAATAAAACCATCACTTGAGCTAATTGCAAATTCAAATTCAAAATAAGAAAGGCTTTGGGAATTGACTAGATTTATCCTTAAATGTCCAGGATAGGGACTGATAAAACCTTGGCCATGGCATGTACATCAATGTCAAGGAGGAAGATATGAGAATCGAATGTATGACAAGATCACAACTGGGTAGCAAAGATTCTTTCAAATAAACATTCCCCTAGCTTTCCAGTTAGAGTTCTGAAAAACAGGGTAATGCAGTCAACCAACAGAGAAGACAAAGTTCAAATGTTAGTTTTTCTATTAGCTAATTAAAAGAAAGCAAGAGAGCAACCTCAAGAGAACTGAGAGAAAGAGAGACTGAGAGATTGAGATCATCTGTCATTAAGAAACCAGCAAATCCATCCCCACCTCATTGCTCAACAGGCTGAACTTTGGAAAGAGTGTCACCACAGTCAGTCGTCCTTGCAATTTTGTCTGATGACTTGGTATGGCAGACATTTAGAGAAAGAATGCTACTTTTAGCTGAACCAAAAACCTTAAGAATTTTCTGAAATAGTTGGCATCAATTTACACTCCTACAAAGTATATAAGAGTGACCATTTTCCTGTTCCCTCACCCACTGTGGGTATTATAAAATTTTAAAATTTTGGCCAATATGATAGATAAAAATGTTTTTATCAATAATCTGCATTTTTAATTATTTAATGGTAAGGTTAGGCATTTAGTTCTTGGTCACATGTTCTTGTAAATTGTTTTTGTATAATTTCTGCTGTTTTCCTATTACTAAGTCTCTTAATCTGGTACAGTACAAAAAATAAGTAAGAACATAGCTCATATGATTTCACTCATATGTAGGATATAAAACTGAAAACAACAAATGAATAAACGAGAAGAATAAACAAAAACTGATAGACACAGAAAATAGTATAGTGGTTACCAGAGGGGAGGTGGTGAAGGTAATAGGTAAAGGGTATACAATTTTGGGTGGTCACAATGCAATATACAGATCGTGTATCATAAAAAAATATACCTGAAGCCTATAATATTATTAACAATGTCATCCTAAAAAATTAGAAAAGAAGAACATAGCTGAATTCATAAGAAGAAAGAGCTATACACAAAGATTGCTGTGGATAAGGGGCATCAGTAAGGAGAGGGAAGAGAACTACCTTGTACTGAACCCTCACTAAATGCTGGGTATTATGTTCACAACTAATCCAAATGAATAGTTGTGAATTGGGGGCAGTGAACACCACAATATTGTAAACTGTATTCCTTTAGTGTATCCCCCTCCCCCCACCTGTGGATTTCTAAAGTAATAACAATACTTCAGCTCAAGAGTCCTGTGAAGTGAGTAGTCACCTTAAAGCAGGGCTCATAGAAATAGAACACTGTTCTGCTAACCCAATAATGCTTTTTGATATGTGATCAAATCTCAGAGTCCTTAACTAGCTATATACCTACTAGTGGCCTGGTGCACAGATTTGTGCACATTGAAAGGAAATTAATTAGAAGAAATATTTTAATATTACTATTCACCTTTTTTCTATAATAGAAGTGTCAACCCAATTCATGATCAACAATGACAGATGGAAACACACGTGTGATATATATATATATATATATATATATATATATATATATATATATATATATATCTCGAGCATTTCTGAGTCAACTTAGCCTTTTATAGATACAGAACACACTTGCTTAATTAATCTGCCTTCTGACTTAGCTAAACTTTTTCCACCCCAGTGAAGCACCCCAACTTCTCTTTCAGGTAATTGTCAGCAACATAGAATTAAATATCAACATGAAGCAGATTATTATTGTAGATAATGCAGGGCAAACAAAGGGTAAAATATATCTAACTTCAGCAGTGAGATATTCTGTGCAGTGAGAAAACCTGAAGTAATTTTCAAGGTTTACTATTTCTTACTTCTTTTCAGGTGGCTCAAGTTTCAAAACTTTCTAAATCTTCATTTCTGGCTAAAGAAAAGAAAATAGGATTCCACTGAGACTCTATCTACCTATTCCAGGACTTCTGTGAGGATCAAATTAGATGAGGCATAGGAAAAACACTTTACAGGCATTTGGTTAAAATGTAAAATGTTTCCACCTGGCTATAAAGCAAGTTGTGTTCCTGGGTTGAAGAAACTGCAAGGAGACTAGTCATTGCTTGGAAGAGGAAGCTGGGTATAGCTACATGAATTACCCAGATGGAGGGAAGTCCTACCTCAAGTCTTTTATATATATATATATTATCTGAGGTGTTTACTTTCACACCAGAATAGTTAGAAAGAAAACATTAAAAGTGAAAGAAACAAATACAAAGAAAACTGATAGCAGGAATTAAAAAAGGGGGGGGTGGGGAGAATAGATTTAGAACATGACAAAAGTTTTTTTAAAAGATGTCTAATTAGTTGTCAATCAAGAATTATTACATCATTTAAAAATAATTTTTAGGACCATGGTGAAGTTTCAAATAACCATGTGCAATTTATGTAGAATTTTCTGCAATATTCAGATCGTGTATCATAGAAAAATTCCCTCTTTTTTATTGTACTATATGAATTCTCAGTAAGCCAACTTCGAGACAAATAAAGTGAACTTCAAAAATTTCTCTCTGAAGAGAAAGAGCATATGACAAGAAGATAAACTAATATGTGTATTTATTCTCCCCAGATTCTCTAATATATTCTGGGCTTGAAAAAAAATCAAATGCAGTCACCTATACCTTCCATATTCACATTACTGCACAGTATGGACTGGTGATCATAATGATCACCTGAAAAATTTTTAGAAATCTAAGTTGCCTGAGATTGTCTGATATTTAACAGTCTGCCCTTTTTATAGCAAGAAATTTAACTAATACATTAAAAAATAACCACAGCATTTTATTTAAAAACTAGAGGCCCTAGTGCACACAATTTGTGCATAGGGGTATGTGTCCCTCAGCCCAGCCTGCATCCTCGTCAATCTGGGACATCCCTCTCACAATCCAAAACTGCTGGCTCCCAACTGCTCGCCTGCCTGCCTTACTGATTGCCCCTAACTGCTTGCCAGCCTGATCACACCCTAACCACTCCCCTGCCAGCCTGATTGATGCC